TGAGGTTGATGCACTCACCACTTGACCACCGGGCCACCCGCCTTATTTGACTTGCTTCAGAAAACTTCAAATTCTTTATCTATCATGATTGTTTTAACGGATACCCCTTCACCTTCACACGCAAAGGACTATTCTATTCTATTCTATTCTATTCTCCTTCAGACTGCTAAATTAACCCTTCCAGGGACAGTGGTTACCACAGTGGACAGTTTACCATGTTACCAGGTTACGGGGTGCTTGAAAGGGTTCACGGCTAACATGCCACTCAGTTTGCCTCACCGGCACGCACTGCCTGATTCCTACCCGAATCTAATCCTAGCCCTGAGCCTGACTCTCCTTTTAACCTTAACCCTAACCTAATCCTTCACCCTAATCCTCCCAAGTGTCCCGTATGCTTGGACAGATAGGTCCCTGCGATCGGTGGCCTCTTTCTGCGTTGGACAGTGTCACCGTTCAAGTCATCGGAGTGCTAAGAATCACGGCGGAACGATGTATACCCTTTTGAAAAAAAAAAATGTGGACGTTTGTTTCAACAAAGCATCGAGTTCAACCCTCGGAGCGACTTTTAAACATCTCAAGGGAAAAAGTGAGGGTCTGTTTGACGATGGGCGATGGATGGTAAATTTACGTTGGAGTTACAACTGTATTTATTTTCGATTTAAATGACAAATACACGAAAACCCGTTGAACCTTTTTTCTGGGAGGGGAGGGGGACAAAAATACACTACAATGTGTCTTTTCATTTTTCTTGCGGGGGTGGATGTTTGACGGAGGATTACTTGAGCACTAAACTCCTTAAGTTATTTTTCGGAATGATTTTAAAATCTTGACCCAATCTATAACCGCCAACGGGCAGAGATTTTCAACTCTCACGGCTGGGTTTTCCAGACTAGTCATGAGATCTTTGCATCATAACAATCGAATGTTAGCCACGCCAGAATTTGCTCAAATGTAGAACACCCTGAAATCTCAATAAAAATATCGACGAGAACTCAAACGGAAATGAGGTAGCATGATCGTGATGATAGATTGCTCTACGCAATAATTTTTTTTTCCAGGAATTTCTGCTACTCGACGGCGCTGAATTTAAAGGGAATGAGGAGCGTCGCTTCCATTATCCGGGAAACTAGCCGGCCGAGTTCAGTCCCGCAACGGCGCGAATGCGCCCGTCTACCGAAATACCCAAAGAAAGAATACGCCACCCGTGCGCACAGTTCGTATGCACTTTGCGCTAAATTTGGCTCAGCTCGAAAATAGGCCCTTACACTCTTGCATTTAGTTAAACCACACATATCCTGCAAGTTGTCTCTCGCTCTGCCGTACCCCTTAGCGACTAGATTTTGGCCTGTTTTTCTGCCTCTTCTCTTCTCTTCTCTTGGCGATGATCGAATCTGAGACTGTTGTATGGATTTTAGACTGACAGAAAAGGATAAAATCTGAGGTGGATCACTACGGAGGATTCTGCATCGACTGAAGGGGTCAGATCCTTCCGGAGGGTGGTGGGACACTTTCCTGACGTTGTCTACCTGTGGTGCTTCATCTCCTTAAAATGGCCTCTTTTGCTGTTTTGAACTAAAATTGTACATCACCATCAGATATGATGTATATGACTCGGCATCCATCCATGGGTCGCCCCCCCCCCCCACGCCCCAAATGGGGTTTTGAGTTTTTTTCTTGCCCAGTTGAAGGCCCGTGATGCCTTTTGAGAGTCTTTTGTAATTGAGGGTTTTCCAGATATACCGGACTAGACTTGACTTGAATTCTCATGACTTTGTGAACTTCTTGGACTGTCCTCTCATTTGCACTTTATGCACACATAGGCACCCCCCCCCCCCTCCCCCCCCCCACCAGCAACAAGATGCAGAAGCTACTTCTTCTCGTAGGTAAGGCGCGCCGCCGAGGGAAGTGTTGTGAATGGTTGTTTTATTTCGAAAGTTTGGAGAGTTGTGACGAAGGTGCCAATTCATTCGCAGGTCTGTGCGTGCTCGTGGCGCACTTGGGTAAGTTTCCCTCTTGCGCCGATTTGTCCCTGGCAGCCAACGTGCAGTTGTCGAGACGAACCGCTGTCCGTTTTCACCTTTCAGAGGCCACATGCTCCCGAAATCTGGTGTGCACCTTCCAGAGCGTTCCCAACTTGAACACGGCCAACCTCAACAACTTTAACATGGCGTCCCACATGGAGCCACTAATGTGCACCCACATCGTCTTCAAATCTGTCCAGCCAAGTGCAGTAATGCAGATTGTCGCTAACTTCAGCATATTTGTCTTGAGGGAAGACAATTATTTTGTGTGATTTATGACATATTCCACATCACATATGGCCCACAACCTCACATTTGATCCATTTTTACCACGATCTGTCAAGAAAAAAAAAAAAAGTCATGCGCCAAGGGGTGAAAAACAAATGATAACAAAGAAGCATTCTGTCGCTGCTGCTATCATGTCAAAGCTAAAAGCTAAGCGGTTGCTGCGTTGGCTTTTGTCTGACGACTGACGAGCGTTTCGATGTGCCGCATACACAGAATATCGTCGAAAAATCTTTGGCTGCTTTCCGTCGTCATGTTTTTGCACATTTCAGGGTAAAATCAATCACGATCTTGGAAACAAAAAAATAAGACCTTCACTAAGATGCCCCGCGGAAGAACCGATCATTTGGCTACTCTTGGAGGACAGACTTCCAGTCAACTGTCCTCCACCACCCCCGCCCCCCTCCAATATAACAATCTGTTGAATTTGTAATGGCTGAGTGATGATATTTTGTGGGAGCGCTTTAGCCCTTGACGCTGGCACGCACAGTTGTCCGAGCAAATCGTTTCGGCGTGGTTAGAGCTCGAGATATGAATCACTTGTTTGTACACGGCGCGAATTGTGAAAACAATAGAGCGAAGACCTAGACGAAAGATCTTATGATCATTCGCAGGCAGATTCATGCAAATTTGCAGTCAAAGATCTTCTTTTTCCTTTTATTCTTATTTTTTTTAAATCCTGGATTAGAAATTTTCATGATATCGTCATGATTTGAGTGCCTCTGAGT